ATTCCAAGTTCTTCCCAATGACTGTAGTCACATCTCGGACGTCTTAAGGAATACCGGGGAGGTCAAGTTCAGCCTGAGAGAAAGTTATCTCCTCCCCACCCCTGACTGGCTCTTTGAAATGTGGCCCTGGGCCAAGGGGGCCTCCAAGCTCAAATGCAACCCCCACTTGGTGTTGGAGAACCTTGACCCCCGTTTTAGCACGTGGGGCAGCCCCAGAAGGAGTCTGAGCATGTTCGCAGCACCAGGACACACTGCTGTCATAGCTGAGAGCTCAGGCTTTGGCTTCTGGCAGAGCAGAATCCTGGCTCCAACGCCGACCTGCTGCAAGGCCTTCATCATAGGAAGAAAAAAAATCCAAATTTTCTCTTTGTAAAGTCTGTCTCCTTGGTGGGGCCGTGTAGGGGTTCAGGTGGGCTGTGAGTGCTCTGTCCGCTGTTGGCCCAGAGGTGTTCGTTTATTTAGGAAATGGTGCCCATGAGGCCATGAGGGCCAGGCACTGTGATCGGCATCCTCACTGTTATAAAGAAAACTGTCCCCTAGGCTTTGGCTGGTGGCTCATCCCTACCCCCTGTTTCTTTATTTACTTTAAGAAGTTAAGATATAATTCCCATGATATAAAATTCACCATCCCAAAGTGTACCATCTAGGGGGTTTTGTGAATGAATGAACAGCATTCACATTGTTGTGCAACCATCCACTGTCTAATTCCAGAACATTTCCATCAGCCCAGAAAGAAACTTCCCACCCATGAGCACTCACCCCATTCCCTTCCCTCCCCTGGTTCCTGGCAGCCACTCTTCTACTTTCTGTTGCTATGGGTTTACTTTTGCTGGACGTTTTGTGTGACCGAAGTCATATGATAGGTGGCGTTCTGTGGCTGGGTTCTTTCCCGTGGCGCGATGCTTTCAGAGTTCATCCATGTGGTAACGTGTGTCCGTACTTCATTCCTTTCTGTGGAGAAGAATATTCCATTGGGTGGATGCACCTCATTTTGCTCATCCATTCATCAGCTAATGGACTTTTGGGTTGGCTACACTTTCTGGCTGTTGTGAACAATGCTGCTGTGAACACTTGTGAACCTATGCTCTTCGTTTTCTTGGATACATATGTGGGGCAGAGAGGGGTTGCTGGGTCACATGAGAACTCTTTGAGGACTTGCCAAACTGTTTTCCAGAATATCTGCACCATTCTTTTCGTAACCCCACCAGCAGTGTATGAGGGTCCGACTTTCCGCATCCTCACCGATCCTTGTTTATTGTCTGCCTTGATTTTAGCCATCGCAGGGGGAGTGAAGTGATATTTTGTTGTAGTTTCCCATATCCCTGTTTTCCGTTGAAAGTGAGTCCCTGTTGTGGTGATGGTCAGCTTTTGTTTGCCCTGAAAGCCTTGGTCTTTTCTCATCCTCGCTGACAGAAGAGGACTACTCCATACCTTGCCTCTGAGCGCCTGCTCAGTGCCAGGCCCAGGATGCCTTGCGACCACATCCCCTAGTTCTCAAGCCTCTAAGGAAGTGGTGAGAACAACCCTCAAATGGCAGTTCAGACTATACAATCAAAGGGGTTTATTCGTTCTGTTGGCTGGGGCAAGAGCAAGCTTCAGGAGTGGTTTGATCCAGTGGCTCAGTGATGCCATCAGAGAACAGAGAACACGTGTCTTTTTTTCTCCCAGCTCTTCCTTCCACCCGGTCAGCCCCATTTGGAAAGGTGGTCCACTTGTGGTTGCCACGTGGTGGCTGTCCCTGGACCTCTGTCCATCCCTCCTCCCTCAGTCCCATCCAGGGAGAGAGAGGGTTGCGCTGGATCCTAGACTTGGAAACTTCCAGGATACCTTTCCTCCAGTCATTGGCTACATCAGACCATGTGCCCATCCTTAAACCAGTTGCTGTAGCTGGAGGATTAGTTGCCACATATTAGACCACAGGCCCCACCCCTACGTCCAGGCTGGCGTCCATGTGAGGCATAGCTGCCTAAATAAAAATTGGGTTGGGTAGCAAGAAAAGGAGGGCGCGGATGAGACAAATATCACCCCCATTTTACAGATGAGGACATGGAGGCCCCACGTTGCAATTTGCTCTCTCAGCCTGCACAAGCTGGTCGCCCTGAAGACCCTCTTCTTCCCCCTCTGTCTGCCCATTTCTCAGCTGAGGCTGTGGGTCCCTGGACCTGGCTGTCCTGACAGCA